CATGTCTGACCTTGGCCTCACAGGAATCAGCCTTGGGCTGTTGGTGTTTAGATTCTCCTCCCCCCTTGTGGGGAGCTCTGGTGGCACAGTGCCTAAGGCACTTGACTGCTGACCAGAAGGCTGGCGGTTCAAACCTCTAGCCACTCCTCAGAAGGAAGACTGAGCAATCCACTTCCATAGAGGCTCAGAAACCTAAGGAGGGGTCGCTATGAGTTGGAATCTACTTGAAGGCAGTAAGTTTGGTTTGTTTTGGTTTTTCCCCTTGTGAAGTTAGAGGAGGGATGGTGCCGCCCCCACACCATTTTTACGTACACATACTGCTTGAATAATTTCTTCAAGTATTAGTACAAGCCTGGTGCCTATGAGGCAGAGGTTAAAGATGTCCCAAATGTCCAGCCTTTCCAAACTGCTGGCCACTCCATCCCCTCGAACATCAACTCCTCCTTCTCCCCTGTGTACTCTCCCTCCTGCCTTAGGGTTCCATATTTTGCTGCAGTGTCTCACGGAACTCACACTCTCCTAAGGAAGGGGCTCATGTGTTGGTGGTGGAGGCTGGGAGGCTGGCAAGTCCCATGGCCATGGGTCGGTCTAGAGGATTCTCCCTACACGCATGATTGCAGGGGCTGGGGAACCCAAACTGGTGGGTCAGATGACCAGCTACTGTCTCAAGTCAGGGTTTAGATGATGAGGAACCAAATGTAGGACTGGAGCAAGATTCACATACATACCCTCAAAGAAGCTAAGGGTGGTTACTTGAGTCACACCCTCCAGCAAGGTGGGACTCAAGACACATCCCATCTTAAATAGGCATAGAGACTAGGATTTACAATTCATCACAAAATGGAGGCTAATAGCTAGACGGGCCATATATGTATCCATATATATATATGGAAATATATATATATATATATGTAATGTATGTATGTGGGAGTCTGGTAGCATAGTGCTACCAGAAGGCCGGCGGTTCAAACTCACCAGCCACTCCTCAGAAGGAAGGTTGGGCTACTTCTGTAGTGATACCACCTTGGAAACCCAAGGAGGGGTCGCTATGAGTTGGGTCTGACTCGACAGCATATAACAACAACAACATATATGTATGTGTGTATGCACATATATATATATATATGAAATGAACCTGTATAATTTAATGTCAAAGCCACTTCTCGTTCCATTAAAATCACATATTTGAGAGTCTTGATCTCCAGATACAAGCCCCCTCCCCTTTTCAACTTCCCTCAATTTTTGGCACCTTAGTCAGTTCCATATTCAAGATGGACCAATGAGCAGC